AATTGTACAGTCCTCCATTGAAGTTCTTTGGGATTATGTGCCTTGAATTCTATTACTATATGTCTGGTGCAGCTACTGGAAGCCTGAACGTCACCATAAATGAAACAGTAGTGTTCTCTGCGAGTGGTGATAAAGGACACGTATGGCATAAAGCTAGCATAAATATATCATCTATTGTGGGATTACATTGGGTAAGCATTAATGAGACCATCAAAACCGTCTGAAAACGGATTTTTCTAAACGCAGTAGGAAGCCAATGATTTTAAGCGGCATAAGGCAGGAATCTTTGACAACCTTTTGAGAATTTTTGAGAGTCTAAATTCCACAAATCTTACTTTAGACGGACTTTCTGAATTTATCAGCAAAACAAGTAAAACTATAATACTTCATCTTATCATTAACTATAAATTAAACACATACAAAATGTAAGTTATATTATATATCACTCTAAAGTTCGTAAACGCAAAGAAAACATACATACATACATACATACATACATACTTTATTGGCTCGTCCCCACGGGGCTTTTCAGAGTCAATTTTACATTACAAAATTATAAACCAAGTACATGACAATAAGAATATAACAATGATAAAAGAAGACAAAGGTCAATAAAATTAATTAAATTAATTAAATAAAGCAGTCATTAAGAAGCTTTTGCCTGAGTAAACACTTGAATTCCGTCACGGATGGGCTAAGTTTGAGCGCAGGCTGCAACTCATTCCAGAGAGAGGTTGCTCTATATTGAAAGGTCCTTTGGCCGCTGGCAGTGCGGAAGAGTGGTATGTTCAAAAGTTGAGAATTTCTCGTATTCCTTGTCGAGACGGCGGATCTTCCAACGAGCTTTGATGTCAAATACTCCGGAGCACAACTCGTCATGCACTTAAAAACCAGAACAGCAAAACGAAAATAAAGTTGTTGCCTGATTGATAGCCAGCGCAAGTCTTTTAGCAAAGGAGTTATGTGATCGAATTTTTTAGCGCCGCTCAAAATACGACAAGCGAAATTCTGTACTGCTTGGAGCTTGTCCAGATTAGTTTGAGTAGTATTGCTCCAAACAGAAGAGCAATAGAATAATTTACTAAATACTAAGGCATTTATAATAATAATTAGCGCGTGTTTATTAAAAATATGCTTAACGCGGTTAATTTGGCCCAAACGTGACATGCATGAGGATACAGTAGAAACAATATGCTCATTATATGTTAAGTTAGAGTCCAGTGTGACACCAAGGTCTCTTGCAGCCTTAACGGGCTCGAGTTCCTTCCCCAATAGAAATAGCCTAAAGTCGCTAACCTTAGCAGTCATTTGCCGGCTGCCGAATATCACTAGTTTTGTTTTATCTGGGTTGAGTAAAAGCTGATTATCAAAGCACCAATTCCTAATGCTTAACAAGTCCTTGTTCATTTTTTCTATCGTTTCGTGCTGATCGCGGAGTTGAAAAAACATGAGAAGTTTGGTATCGTCGACGTAACACTGCGATGTACAATTTTCTGGCACAGAAGGGAGATCATTAACGTAGATGTTAAAGAGTAATGGGCCAAGGATGCTCCCTTGTGGAACGCCAGAGATAACAGGTAGTTTGGTCGACAGAGTTGTATTTATTCGCACAAATTGGTATCGCGAGGTTAAATAGCTTCCGAGCCATTTTATCGCAGGTCTGGACGCACCAATGTCCTGTAACTTAGCGAGGAGTATTTGATGGTCAATACTGTCGAAAGCTTTGCTTAGATCAAGAAGGACAACTGCAGTCAGTTTCTTTTTGTCAATGGCATTTAGGATTTCGTCAGTTGTTTGAATGACAGATGTTTCCGTTGAATGCCACTGTTTATTTCCGCTTTGTTTGGATGATAAACGGCCTCTCGAAAGTAGATATGACGTAAGTTGATTGTGAGCGACACGTTCACAGACTTTAGAAAGGACAGGGAGTAATGAAATCGGTCTATTATTGTTTGGAATATCGTGGTCTCCAGCCTTGAGTATCGGTGTCACTTCAGCTGTTTTCCAGGCCAAAGGGAAGGTGTCAAACTCAAAGGTAGCATTAATAATAGACGTTAACGATGGCAAGATAGCAGGCAAACAATCTTTGATCACATGGATTGGGATTTTATCAATCCCAGGGGCCTTACCACTCGCCATTGATGTGACAATTTTTTGTACCTGTTCGCACTTCACTGCGTTGAAGGTGAACTGCTCTGACAATGGGTAGATTCTCGGAATAAATGAACATTGATTAAGAGTATAATTCGATTCCTCTGCCAACTTAGCAATTCTATTGATGGTACTCTTTCCAACAGAGGAAAAGAAATTATTAAATTCATCAGCAACAATTTTGTCATCTTTGGAATAATTCCTTTGAGAAGCGGACTTCTTGGGTATGCACAAGCGGATTGCTCTCCAGAGGCAATTAGAGTTGTTTTTGTTGTTTACAACTTGCTCCGCGATGAATATTTTCTCAGCCGTCCTTATTTCATGTTTGACTTCGCGACAAAGGTTTTTGTATTCAGACCAAGCATGTGGATCTTTGTTTTTTGGGGCTACCTTCTTCCAATGATCTCTAAGTCTCATAAGGTCCCGAATTTCGCATGTTACAAAAGGGTTGGGACGTCCACGAATTTTGACTGTTTTGATGGGTGCATGTTCGTCTAATACATTGTTGAATAATAGGTTAAACGCGTTCAATTTATCTTCAGGATCATCAAAAACGTCCAAAACGGACCAGGGTACTTGCGAAACGTCAACAAGAAATTGATCGGGCCGGTAATGTTTGAAGCACCTTGTTGTAATATAAGTTGGCTTTTGACGTTGATTTTTCAAGCGGAGTGTAGCGCAAACAATATCGTGATCGCTTATTGAGCACGGTTTCACGATTGTTTCCCGGACTTGTTGCTCGTTTGAGGACAAAATAACATCTATAAGTGTTTCAGTGGAAGCACTCGAGTTGGTGTTTTAACCATCTGAGATAGATTATACAAGCGACAAAAATCAAGTAGAGCTCTGGAGTCAGGGTTTTCAAGATTTAAAAGGTTACAGTTTAAATCCCCTAAAATGTATATTGTTTTGTTGTGTAAAGAAGCAGCAATAAAGCTAGGAGTCAAATCAGTATCAAAACATCTCACTGGTACATCAGGCGGCCTGTAAGCAGTACAGATAACTAGAGAGCGAAGGTTGCGTACTTGGACCTTAATCCATAGCTGGTGGAAACCAGCAACCGATATACCAGAAATATCCCAAAGAACTTCAGTCTTGTAGCTCTGTAGAATATAAACACAAACGCCACCACCTTTCTTGTCCTGTCTGTCGACACGATATAAATCATATCCTGGTATTTCTAGCTCCAAGTTCGTGACGGAATTATCCAGCCATGATTCAGAGATAGTTAAAATGTCGAACTTGTTTTCGAGCACTGTCTGTTTGACTTGGATAAAGTGATCTCGGCATTTCAACGACCGAACGTTTAAATGAGCTACTGTGACATTGTTACGCGTCTTGTTTGCCTGCCGTTTGGAAGTTCCTTGATTCGGTCCCGGGTTCAATTCGATGTCGTGCAGCAGTTTAATAATCGGATGAAAGGTAAATACACAGTCGTGATATCGGGTAGTTGGGGTCTGCGACCTTTTTATCTTCGCCAGCACCAGTAGCCGTAAGTTAGTCCGCCATGTCACTTAGCGTTTCAAAGCGGATGTGTTTGCTGTTTGTTTCAATTATTTAGTTCTTAAGATTTCCAGTTAATTTTTCATTTCTGCAATATTAATTTGTCTTAAAAGTCCATCATTAAAGCGACCCTTCCAGACTGATTACACTGTAATACCATGTTTTTGACAGGTAACATTTGAAGGCGTAGTAGGAAGCAGTATCACTGGTGACATAAAAATTGATGACTTCTTCTTTACAGGGGGGGCTTGTCCTTTTGATGGTAAGTACTTCGATCAAAGGGTGTACTTACACGTATTTTGAGAAGGAAAAAAGATTTCTTCACAACAATGGACAAAAAATATGTCTTTAAAGTTTTGAATATATGAAAATCATATATGTGAACTGCGGAGTGAAGAATTAAATGAACGATGATCATCGCAGTTATATACGCAACTTTTGCACTTGCGAAAAGAAAGCCTGAAAAAAAATTCAGGCTTGTACGGGATTCGAACCCTTGACCTCTGCGATACGGGTGCACTGCTCTACCAAATAAGCTAAAAAGCCAACTGGGGAGCAGTTGGCGATGATCGTCCTTCATTTAAATATGTAATTGTTTCGAAGTATTTTATCCTTGCATTGAAAATATTGACGGTTGTCTTTAAAAGAAGTGACAGAAGTATTTCGTTTGAACGAGTAGATGTGACGGCTATACGCGTTGTACGGAATACTCTCTCCCTTTCCGCAGAGGCCTCTTTGTGTCGTAGACCGAGGCTGGGGAGAAGGGAAAATGAAAGTGCGGGGGTGGGGGGGGGGGGGGGGGGGGGAAGACGCAGTCCCTCTTCCCATCGTCCACGACGTGCTTACTTTTTTTTAAATTTTTATTTTTGACCAGTTGTTTATCCTGTCTGGTGTCGTGAACAGTATAGGTTGAATTCAGTTATTATGTTAGGTATTCATAGGCCAGAATTCGATGGTTGGAGCTCATCTTGGCAAAATTTCTGTACAAGGTCTTTTATATGACAACAATCAGAATGGAAAATCTTAAACTGAAAACTCATCAAATTCGTGGCGGGCATGGTAGCTATATGACGTGAAGAAATTTCTGGTAATTAAATGCGGAAAAAAGGAAAACTTTAATGCTCAAGATCTCGAGCCAACATTACAGGAATAGCCAAATCGAACGTTTTATTTATCGAACCAAATCGAACTTTATGGAACTTAATAGAACGACACGGTTCGATTAAGTTCGAACACAATCGAGATCTCCCGACAAAAACATTTTAGCAAACGAACCCAATCGAACTTTGATTGAGTTCGATTAGTTCAGAGTTAGATGGTCGAAGTTGGCATACTTTCGATTAATAATGCGACGTTATACAGGAAAATTGCGCGTGCCAGGTTTTGAAACTATTGGATGTTACAACGACACCTCAAACCGAGCAATTCAGCCATTGGAAGGAAAGGATTCTATTTTGGATGGATTTTACAGCTCTCGAAAGAACCCTATTGCAAAGTGCGCCGTGGCTGCAATGAGAGCAGGTTACAGCATGTTTGCAGTTCAGTATGGTGGTTGGTGTGCAGCAAGTGCTACAGCAGCGAAGACGTTTGGCAAATATGGAACGTCTGCAGCTTGTGAGGGTGACGGTGAAGGCGGACTATGGGCTAATCAAGTTTATGTGTTCAAAGGTAAGTCAGTGTTAGGATACAAGTCCTGTGTCATTTTGGAACGACACCATTGTGTTTCCAAAAACATTGATAATCTAAACTGTTTACAAAGCATCTATCATTTCTGTAACAGGCTTACTGTGGCTATAGAATTTAGGTTTTCCTTCTTATTAACTTTGGGCAGACGGGTCGACTATAAATAACTTTTAATAATGATTTTTCTTTTTTTTTAATCTTAATGATGTTTTTGCAGAACATCAATCCAAAAGATGTCTTCAACATTTCAATCTGCCTTTTTGCAAACCACTGAAAATAGGTAAATTAAAGGTTTTCCCTTAGGACAGTTTTAACTTAATTTCAGTGTATGAAACTATTGGATGTTACAACGACACCTCAAACCGAACAATTCAGCCATTGGAAGGAAAGGATCGTATTTTGGATGGATCGGACTGGGGCTATCGAAAGAACCCCATTGCAAAGTGCGCCGTGGCTGCAATGAGAGCAGGTTACAGCATGTTTGCAGTTCAGTATGGTGGTTGGTGTGCAGCAAGTGCTACAGCAGTGAAGACGTTTGACAAATATGGAACGTCTGCAGCTTGTAAGGGTGACGGTGAAGGAGGACTATTTGCTAATCAAGTTTATGTGATCAAAGGTAAGTCAGTGTTAGGATACAAGTCCTGTGTCATTTTGGAACGACACCATTGTGTTTCCAAAAACATTGATAATCTAAACTGTTTACAAAGCATCTATCATTTCTGTAACAGGCTTACTGTGGCTATAGAATTTAGGTTTTCCTTCTTATTAACTTTGGGCAGACGGGTCGACTATAAATAACTTTTAATAATGATTTTTCTTTTTTTTTAATCTTAATGATGTTTTTGCAGAACATCAATCCAAAAGATGTCTTCAACATTTCAATCTGCCTTTTTGCAAACCACTGAAAATAGGTAAATTAAAGGTTTTCCCTTAGGACAGTTTTAACTTAATTTCAGTGTATGAAACTATTGGATGTTACAACGACACCTCAAACCGAACAATTCAGCCATTGGAAGGAAAGGATCGTATTTTGGATGGATCGGACTGGGGCTATCGAAAGAACCCCATTGCAAAGTGCGCCGTGGCTGCAATGAGAGCAGGTTACAGCATGTTTGCAGTTCAGTATGGTGGTTGGTGTGCAGCAAGTGCTACAGCAGCGAAGACGTTTGACAAATATGGAACGTCTGCAGCTTGTGAGGGTGACGGTGAAGGCGGACCATTGGCTAATCAAGTTTATGTGATCAAAGGTAAGTCAGTGTTAGGATACAAGTCCTGTGTCATTTTGGAACGACACCATTGTGTTTCCAAAAACATTGATAATCTAAACTGTTTACAAAGCATCTATCATTTCTGTAACAGGCTTACTGTGGCTATAGAATTTAGGTTTTCCTTCTTATTAACTTTGGGCAGACGGGTCGACTATAAATAACTTTTAATAATGATTTTTCTTTTTTTTTAATTTTAATGATGTTTTTGCAGAACATCAATCCAAAAGATGTCTTCAACATTTCAGTCTGCCTTTTTGCAAACCACTGAAAATAGGTAAATTAAAGGTTTCCCCTTAGGACAGTTTTAACTTAATTTCAGTGTATGAAACTATTGGATGTTACAACGACACCTCAAACCGAGCAATTCAGCCATTGGAAGGAAAGGATTCTATTTTGGATGGATCGTACAGCTCTCGAAAGAACCCTATTGCAAAGTGCGCCGTGGCTGCAATGAGAGCAGGTTACAGCATGTTTGCAGTTCAGGATGGTGGCTGGTGTGCAGCAAGTGCTACAGCAGCGAAGACGTTTGACAAGTATGGAAAGTCTGCAGCTTGTAAGGATGACGGTGAAGGTGGACCATGGGCTAATCACGTTTACGTCATCAAAGGTACTTGTAGATATTGTGAGTAATATACTATGTTTAAAATTAAGCCTCGTTAGTGGATAGCTGAGGATAGTTTGGGGTAGTCGCTTTAGGGATAGTCCATGACGAGCGCAGCGAGTGGGTAAAATATTGTTCTTGCCACGAGAAAATAAAATTCATATCTTCAAGCCGCCGTGTAATGTTCGTTTTATGATATAGACAAAATGACATCGATAAAATAATAGAGGGAAATTACCAAAATTACGTCATCGATAAACTCACGTGTGAGATTATGGAAAATAAACCACTCGGGTCCCGGATGTAGTTTTTATGAATTTTACGAGTGGTATGTTTTCCAGTAAAACACTCGTGTCTATATAATAATATTATTATATTTACCCGGGTAGAGAGAATGTGCACTTTTGCAAAGCTTAATACCTTACACGTGCACAATCTTGACAAAAACGATGTAACTGTTCATTCGCTTTATGGATCGTTTGAATCTCTTCTCTATCATCCGGCTTTGTTTTCGTATGGGAGGTCCACTTTTAGGTTTGCCCAAGTCTTTCTAGGACCACTGTGTAGGTCATCAATGCATTATTACTGCTGCAAGCTTCCATTGTAAGCTTATACCAAACAGATTCACCTTTTAATTTAGACCCACAGACAGTTCTCCATGTTCTCTAGTAAAAAAACTAAATTACAAGCTTCAGGTCAGTACTAGAACCTCTGCTTCGTACCCAGACTCTATGTGGATCGTAGGCAAGCTTATGCGTGAAGCTTGGGAACAAACTTTCTACGCACTCGATCTCTAACTAGTAATCTTCCCATTATGTTCCTCATTTAGCTAGGCCCTGAGAATAAGGCAGCTAAAACCTGCTAGCGAATGCCCAGCTGCAATACCTTAAGCACGTTTTTTAAACCATAAATGCCTATTTTGCTACCTAGTTAAAAAAAGGTTATAATTGAAAAAAGGCTGACAAAAAAATCTAGAATTGCAATACGGTTGAGCAAGCTGTACAGGGTATTGATGTGTTTAGACAAGAGACTAGCCCCTTTATACTCTCTTGATTGCCCCCGCAGGGATTTCGCCCAGAAGGCGAAATCCCGAGGAGGCACTCTGGTAACTCGCGCGTATATCAAGGAAAGTACTTAAAGTTGAAATATACAGTCAGTATGCTAGAAAAAAATCTAGATTTGCTTGAACAGGGGCCGCGAGGAATCGGTAGGCTATTATCTGCGCCCGCAAGTACGAAATGGTTAGGATGACGTAAAGACAGAAAATCTCGAAGGGAACGCTTAGGTAGATTTTGCGACATTTATTGTGCAGTCATACTTCGATACTCTTTTGCGTTACGTGTTATCAGTGACATTCTGTGGAGCAGTTGTTGTTTTGAAAATTATGGACCACAAGACACTCGTTAAGCGCAGATGAAGTTATAAGGTGCGTATAACGGTATAACTGTGTATATCTAAACACTTGGAGGGTTTGCCAGACACGAGTTCACAAATCTTTGATTCGAAACCTTGCCAAACACTCTTTCTCTGATCTCTCATTGACCGGAACAAGACTCAGCCCCAAGCAAGCAAAACGAGTGAACAACGGCTAACTTATCACCAGCAGAACAATGGACGATTACAGAAATTCACCGACAATCTAATTATGTGCTGACTTATTCCCTGCTCACAGATGTCCTTCCGCTATAAAGTTTAAAATACTACTAAATGCGTGAGCGTGAATTGATCAAACGTTCTTTTAATTTCTAAGGCTTACTTTCCGGTAACTGTTTAACTGTATGTAAAAGTGAAAGAGAAAAAGTGAAAAATTCAACTTATAATTAAATCTTTTCTTATGGTTTGGAATAAACTGTTCTCGAAACTGAGAATGTTTTGATCAAAGCTGTATGTGTAAACCGAACTAAAACTGTACAAGGAACTTTGCGTTTCCTGTTTTTATCTCACCTATTGTATGTAGTATGTGTGAAAATCTTATGAATCGATATATTTCAAAGAGCTACACAATGACCAAGAATGCTATTGACCGACTATACACAGAACGGGGGAAGCTGTAGTATCAACTATTACTAGTGACGATTATTATTATTCTCATTATCATTATTGAGAGGCTCGTCTGCCTCTAAGTTCCATACATTTTGAGCCCCTGTTGTGGGAACTTTTTTAACTGCAAAAAGACACTGCTGGAAATTTAGAGCCTTATCGACAGTAAATTGACCTTTAAGCTTCCGCACTTTTTGACCAGAAGTGCCGATCAATAAAAAATGCTGGTGTTAAGGCTGAGTTTTCCCGGTTTGCTTTAAAATTTCTGTTCGAAAAGCTATCGCCATGATGAACTGACAGCTTCTCGAGAGACTGAATCTTATATCTCTGGATTGAATTTAGATTCTGACCTGTTGCGAGTTTCTGTGCGGAATTCGATGTTACTGGTGTAGGGATAAGGCACACTAAAGGATTTTGTTATTTAGAGAGCTATACAGCCAACTACCCGAACGAAATACAGTTGTACATGTAGCGCAATTATTGTAAAAAACATAATATTCTTTAAAAGAACAGTACCAGACAGTACAAGCCCCCTGGAGCACTCCTCTCTGTCATTTCAGTGCAGTCAGTAGAATATTGGTAAATTAATCAAGTGGTTGCGTTTCTGATTCTTTCTGCCATCAGATGCTTTAATTAATAATGTAACCCTCAGACTACACGTAAATTCATACCCGCACTGCTGCTGAAGGCAAATGACGTCACCAACAATGGTCGCCATCTTCGATTTTACCAAGAATTAAAACTCAGGTTAAGATCGCGATAAATGGTATTTTTTGTGCTTGACATGTAAAATAACACATAAATAAGAACTGTCATCCACAAGTTTTACTTTTGTTGTTGAGAAAGGTGAAAAAACATGCATTTTCACTCAAAAATGGCTTGACCACCTGCTACTTATGACGTAATATCTCCTAACCATAGTAACTGACCATCACTAAACTTGTCTCAAAATGCCCGCCGGGGATAAACAAGCAGCTACTGAAAACGTCAGGTGCTGATGTTTTATCGTCTACAAAAAAAATTTAAGAAACCTCAGAGGGAAACAACCCCCACCCGGCCCTTGTATGTCCGAGGGTGATGGGCTCCTGTCGAGGGTTAATAATTTTTCTCCTTAAAAAGGATATGTCTGACCTCTTGTTGGACACAATTTTTAACTTTTAATTTCTTTTAGCACTATGCATATCTTCAGCTAGGAAATGGGGGTTCCAAACATAGGTAGGTTTTTGTTGGGCATGATCGAGATGACCGATTGTTATTTGCAGCTCTGCCTTATTGCTACTAAAGCTACTTTTTTGACGAAATTGCTTGGTGTAAGGGGTGAAAACGAGGCGACGGAGTTAAAAGCAAAAGTGGGACTAAGAGTAGTCTATATATTTTGAAGAGAATAATAACAAACTCCTCAAAGTCTACTAATTCGAGTTACTGACTTGTAGACATATTTGGTTTCAGACCACTGGATCAGAATGAATTATACTGCTCCACTGTGTTTTGGTACGAGAGATGACCAGTTTGGCAAGTTCTCCTCTCCATATAGTGGTAAACTGGCATCAGTGAAACTGGTGCACCTGTATGGTAATGTTACATGCTATAAAAGAATACCCCAGTATTGGTCTTATTGGGGTTGCGGTCAATACAACTCTTCTCATATTAGCATTGTCATAACAGACTCGAACAACAGCATTCTTTTTCCGTCAAGGGAGTTCATGCTTGATAAGAGTAGCACATATTCTTCGATTCCTGGTTATGACTCGCTTTCTCCAGAATTGGTGCTGCTTGCTCTCTCCAACCCTCCATTCGTAACTAGAGGACAAGAGCTACGTGTGTGGTACGGGGAAGATTTTAATAAGAAAGCCAAAGTATACGACAATGAAGGAAAATCGTGCTGCGATATATATGCTCGTTTCATGTGAATATCGGTGATCAAATACCTGTTCATTACGCATACAAATAAGTAGTGTATTAGTAGTGCACTGGACATTTTTGAGTAAGACGATGTTCTCGGACTACAATCGGCGACAAAATCAGTTGAGACACTTCGCCCTAAACTGGGCTTTTTTGCGTTTTACTGACTTCAAAAGGGAGAAATATAGCTTTTTCTCCCCTATCCCTCCAAGCAATGTTGTGCCGCTGTACGAGCTACCTATAGAAAACAACAAACACCCCAACTTTGAATGGAGGGGACAGGGGAGAGGTAGACTACGAGTCGGTCCCCATTTTTCCTCAGGGATAGTAGAGCGAGCGAAACGCGCGTCTTTCTCGCGTGAGATGATTTCACGCCCGCTCGCGTTTCGCTTGCTCTACTGTCCCGAGGAAAAATGGGGACTATTCGTAGTCTACCCCATCTTGTCGCCGATTGTAGGTATAAACTTGTTCCTAGGTAATTAAAGACAAGATCACGGCGGTAAAAATCCTTCTTTTTCAGTGTCAGTGCTCTGTATTCTCGGAAATGGCAGTTTTGGACAAAGAGGAATCCACTTAATATTAGATGTCAAATATAACCCTTATATATGCTTTAATAGGGTGGGGTTTTCCTCAAGAGTTTCAGTCTTCATCATTACATTCCCGTTGGTCGCCGAAGCGAAAAGTCCACAAACATTGGAATGGTAACAACATAAGATTTCGTAATCAGACTCAAACGTTAGAGTGAACCTCTCAGAGACACTAGCAAAGAAAGGGTTTAGTTGGGGTTCTAGGTTTTTGGGCCATTTTTAGACCACAAAAACAATTCTAGCACCCAGCGTCAGATCGTTTACAATAAAATGGTCAGAATTGGTTTCATATGATCGGAATAAATACCTCAGATTGTTCTTTTCTCAAGAGCCTCGTTGCCATGCAGGCCGCTGAAGACCCTTACGTCGTAGAAAAGAGCTCAATGATTATAAATAGTGAAACGGAAACTGTACAATTCAGTTTAAATCAATTTATTACTTTGCTTACTGTTACTTTTGCGTTCTTAAGAGGCAATGTCGGAAAATATCAAGAATCTCAA